AAACAGGTATAACTTCATTATAGTATACATAAACAGACAATCGTTGGAAACATTAAGTTAACGATAGTACAAACAATAGTGTTAAAATTGCTTATTGTTGTAGATTTTAACGAAAAATATGTCTTAGCCGTCAATAAGCATCCAATATAGCGTTACTTTTGATATGACTATATGATTACCTTTTTTTATATTTAATGACAACTATATATTATTAATCCAATAGTTGAAGCTTTCATGAATCGGTTTATTAACTATATCAACTGCTGACATTTTTAGTACTTACGTAAAAAAAAAATTAACGACATTTCCGACAAGTTCCGTTATCTGTCACTCTTTATTTTATAGAGTAATATTCGCTTCCGATGCCGAGACGTCATGTCTTCCTGGCTCCTGCAAAGTGAAGGTGTCTATTGCACTTCCTCCGAAGATAGATGTATAAATTGTCAGAAATATATGGATTATTGTTTTTTTTTTCATGAAATATTATACAAAACCGTCGTGATATTATCACAGAAAATGTCTACTATTTAAATAGTTTCTAAAATAAACATAATGTAGTGTCCACCAAGCATAACAACTAATTAAAGAAATCGGCTACTCGTATTATTATAGGGTAAAAATTATGAATATATCCATAATTTTCCTAAGATCTGGCAAATAAGTGTGCACTGTACACGGACTGCTCTAGGTAAATGTCCGAATTTCGGTCTTATATTCATTGCAAACATCACTTCATCGATTCATCATTTAGCGAAATACCGCACATTTTGTGTGAGTAAAAACAGCACAATATTTTTAATCTACTGACTTGTAGATGTATAATGGACGTCAAAACTTTTATCTCGTTAACCAAACAGTTTGGAAGAATCACTAAATTTTATTTTGAATCGTGATAATACTCGTTACACCCTAAATTCATTACATTACATTTATGTTTGCATGCGAGAATTAATTTTTTTATTTAAATAAATGTATAAATAGTATATTTTACATTTCAAAATACATACATTTTTTAGTACCTATTTATGAAGTGGATTCAACGGTATAATTGTGTTATGTCGTGTATGCATAAATTAATATAGGATTGGATTATTGCTCGCGTGAAATCCGAAAAAATGTCGATTTTCAAAAAGTCAATATAGTATCGCCGACGTGTTGCAGACGACCATAACTATGCGTTTAACCGGTTACCCGGTGTGCTGCCGTGTACAGATCGTCATCTCGATCGCCGAGCGTATAATATAATATAATAACGACGATAATGTGTTGCAACGACCGTCCGAAAACCCTTATATGTACAGTCACGTATATTTTATTTCTCGGAAACTCCGTTTATTTATTTTCCGCCGGCCGCGGCGTTTCGTATATTATTATTATTATTATTATTATTATTATGTACATTGTGTGCGCCTATACGTATATTATATAATACTGGATGTATATATAGGTAATAATATAATAACATATATAGATGATTATTATGTATAGGTCGAAGAGCGCGGTGAAAAGAATGGTAGCGAGAGGGCGAAGGGAAAAAAAACCGAAATAAAGTACCCGGTAGCCCGTAAACCCGGTGACACCGGTCGCACCCGACGGCGGCCGACATATTGTACAATGTATATATATATTGTGCTGGCGTATGCACGGCCGGCCATTGTCCACCGGCGGCGGTTCACGCAACCCTATATTATTATTATTATTATTATTATCATCATCGTTATTATTACTATAGATAGATACGACTGCCACTCGTAATGTTGATATACGGGCATTCCGTCGTTTGTGCGTGTGTGTGCGCCGACGACGATGATGATTTTTCGGCATCGACGAACGCTGCGACGACGTCGACGGGTGGCCGAGAAAGGGATGAGACGCGAGCGTGATGAACATAATAATAAATATATATATATATATATATATATATATGTACGACACACACACGCGCACACCCATCCACCCACCCACCCGTGTATATATACGCATGTGGATGTATAAACCCGAACGCAACAATGTGAGTGTGTGTAATAATACCGATATGGCGATAATAACGACCGCCACTGCGGCAGTTACTGTACCCAATATGATATTATATTATCGTCTCGGGCCGTCCGGCGGCGGTCGAAAGATCCAAAAACAGCGTGAAGTCGCCGTCTCGGACGGGTTGCATATTATTATCATTGTACGACTGTGCTACCGTGTTACACGTGCGTCTGGACTGCCCCCCCCCCCATTCTGTCTCGAGGGGCCCGCGATCGCCGAGGACGGATAAATCCGAGAAAACCGCAGTCGGACGCCGCGTCTTCGGGGGCGAAAAGGCGATCACATATTATATATTATACCTAATAATAGCAGAGAGGAGGAAATCCAAAAAGCGTATCTACCGCCGTTAAAATACCGACTGTTCTGAAGCACCGATTCGCTTCGTCTCCTCTCAAACAATGTTATTACATTAATATTATAGAGCAACCGGAGCCCGACGAATTCGAGTAACGAGTAATAATAAATATTGGAAAATATGCGTGATATTACAATAAGCCCTGCATTTTGGCAGTGGGACGTATTGGATTACCACCCCTATTTAATAAATATAATATAATACCTTTATTATTTGTGAAAACTGGTATCGTTCCATGTGAAGCGCCTAATAGACAGACGAGTACGCTTTACGAATACTTGCAGTTAATGTAGGTAGGTACTTACTCGACAGTAGAAATTTAATTTCTTAAAATAAAAACCATAAACGAGTATGATCTTATCGTGTCGTTTTTCTAACGTGTAGTATTATAGCAATCTGCGCGGATAATCCCTAAGGTTTTATTTGTATGATTTTGTGATTTTCATTAAATATATTTGGTGGGTGGTATTGATGTATGGAAAAGTACGCGAATTTGAAAGACGACTTTTTTGGAGATGTGCGGTTTTAACGGCTGTCGTGTAATTATACATCTATACCACCTATATTATTTAATCGTGAAAATAATAGTGTAGTAAATAATAATAGAATGCAGTACACAGCTTATACAGTTAAAAACAGTTTAATCACACATTTTTATTAAATTATGACTTTCCTATTACGTTATTCGTGATGACTGTTAATAGGAACTAAGGAATTTCTAGTATACCAAGTATTATAATTTATAGTCGTATAGACTCAAAAGAGACGAGACGGTTTATGGTAGAATCTCTTATATACTAAGGCATAATAGACCTTATGTACTATATAACCTTATTATATACTTAGTATAAAGTCTAAGAGTAGAATATAAAATGGTGGACGACACGTCTTGTACGTGCATTTTACATTACACACTAACTTAAGAGGATGTCAGTGCAAATATTTAATTTCTTTTCTCTGACCAACGTGCAACATATAGATAAAACGCTTTCACCTAAAATCACTTTTTATGATTTTTGAGTAATCTATGATTAATGTAGTAATCTATCTTTGAGTAAATAACCTATTACAAAAATCATGGATGATAATATTTTCGAGGGTATGACTCATCGGTTTTATTTTTTATTATTATTTGACTTTGTATGTGACTATCGAAATAGAAAAAAAAATTGTAAATTTAAATGATGTTTAAATTGTTTGAGACGATATTTAAATAAATCGAAATATACTCAAAAATAATATTCTCTGTCGGTTTTGTCGATTTTACTCTAAGATTACTCAAAAACATAAAAAAAAGTTGATTCTGCGTAAATGCGTTTCGTCTGTATGCCAAATAAGAGAGAAAACAAACAGTGCGCTAAGCCGCTAACATCCTCTTAACAGTCTTAACCTGCAGTTTCTATTGACATATCTATTCAAATAATAATAATTAAATACAAAGTATCTATAGGTACAAATGTTGTACAAGAAAAAAAAACGTATTTCAGAAAAATCTCCTCAGGCAATATAATAATATTGTATTATACCGGATTGTTGCGATCATTGCGGAAAATCGGTGCGCCGACATTGAAATCCAGTAGCTGCTACTGAGTAGCACGCTTTATTATCACATTCGGACAGATTTGATTGCGAGAATGGTCTGAAGAAATACCTCAGCAGTGTACAATGATGATGACGACGACGGGGATAGAATGCGATATAGAACGTCATGTATAAGATCTGTGTTTCTGGAAACTGCTACATGTATATATGCGGAGAAATCGGACAGTGGCGGTGGTGTGTTTACGCCGTGGATTTCTGTGCAAAAAAAAAAAAAATAATAATAATAAATGAATAAGAAAATAAGTAAAACGCGTGTATTATTTAAGGTTCGTATTACGTATAAAGACGAATTGTTGGGAACACGACCCTTTTGCCGGCCGTTCGGGCCACCTTTTGTTCGCGGGGGAGAGAATATTGCCCCCGTCGACGCCGCCGGTCCGTGCCAGTATTTCGCACAAAGGGTACCCAAAAATCCAACACAATTATCTGAAAGATGCATCTTTAAGACGTTTTCGGTAGTGTTTTCTACTTTTTATTTATTTATTTCGAAGGGGAGTTTGTGTACGCTATGATGCGGACTTTTGGTCATTTCACCCGTTTCCAACTCTACACATTGTAATCCCTATACAAAAACCTGTGTTCAAAAAAAAAGATAAAAAAAATAACACTTTTCTCTAAACCGAATTCTAATGACTACGCTCCGCAAAAATACAAATCACTACCTATACAAATGTTATAATGCTGATGTTTGTGTACAGCATGACTACGTACACCTTCGTATAATTGTTACTTCACGCTATAGAAAATAAATTGTAAAATATTTCATTGATTATTAAATTTAAATATTAAGATCGTTATATACATGCATTGTCATTTTATTATGTACTATAGTTGTTAATAATTTACAAATTATAATAATAAGTAAATATACTAATTAGTAATTACTAATATGTTGTATATAGTTGAGTAGATTTTAAAAACACGTACATTTTTATTTCACATTTCTTGTGGCTTTATAGTTATCAGCTAATTAGTTATACGATTTTTTTTTTTGACAGATCAATGAATCAATATTATTTGCACAATATTTAATGCAGCTCAAACGTTTTGGAGTAAGAAGTTCTGGATAGCTTCCTGTTATCTATGTAAAATATTCCAAAAAATATATAGAAAGGTACGTATATATATTTATTATAGTACACTGTCTTATGTAAGTAAGTAATTTAAATGTACTTCTTCCTATGTAGTATATAATATGTTGCGTTATCATTAATAGTATAGTACCTACGCATAATTAAAATTTAGTTTGAATCACAATATAATTTATAATATACAATATACATATTATATAAATGCCATAAATACATTTACGTATAATATGATAAAACTAAATTAATAAGGTAACATCAATTTTAATAGCTTCAACTTAAATGAACTATTGTATGATAAGCTATTAATATAATAGTCACATTGATGAATTATTTTACTTGAAAACAATTTTTTGATTTCAAAAATATAGAACCGGAAATTAGCTATTAATCTGCTTTATTGCAGTACGATTACGTCATTAAGTAAGTAACTTGAAAAGGTATATTGCATTTTAATTCAATGATAAATAATTGGAAAATGAAGAACCGATTCTAGGCGCGTGGAGGACTAGAGACTAAGGAGATGATAGTCATCAGCCTTCTCATATAGGTTTAGGTACACAAATAATATTTAATTCGATGGATTCAACTGTTTTTTTTTTGCCAAAATACTTGCATTTATGTCAATACTGAGGTACTGTATAGAAAACATGGATAGGCTTCATTGCATATAATTTTAAAATTGTTTGAAATTAGTCTAAATGGTTTGAAAATTGCCTTGTGTAGCTGTGCAGATAGGTACCTATAGAGAATAACATAATAGGTAACAAAAGAAACGAAAAACATTTTCAAGTCGTTACGAATTACGATAAATATTTTCTTTCAAACGAAAAATTTCAAATATTACTATAACAGGAATTGAGAAAAAACATTATTTTTCATTAAAATAAATAGATAAGTTACTACTTGGTCGGTATTTTAATTCTTATAAAAAAATCGTAATTATAATATTTATTCAATATTTTTTAGTTCGTGTTTAGCTACTATGGTGAATCTTTTATTATATTTTCAAGTTTTCGATCGAGAAACAAATGTTTCTCCAATTGAAATAAAAGAAAAAAACTAATAATAATTTAGTTCAAATTACTATAAATACTACACAAAAAAGAACCTAAAATATTTCAAAAATGTATAAAATGTCTAAATAATACTAATGTAAATATTTGATGAAAATATCAACCTTTAGGATTTAAGATTATTAATTTCTGAAGTACTACAAGAAACTGCAATCGATTTTATTTTTAAAACTATTGCGTAAATATTCTTTTTTCCCCGCTGTATTTTATTAATTTTTCTGTTTTCATAGATATTAAAAAAAGTACTGGCATTTCCCTATTATTGAACATACTAACAATATATTATATCAGAAACCCCTATCCAAACTTTCCGCTCAAAAGCGGGATGACAACTTAAAAGAAAACCACCCATCATTGTATAACCAAAACATTCGTTTAGACTTTAAACTTTAGAGTCAGAAATTGTAAATCAAGATGTATTATGTATTACATATAGTTTGGTGCAACCTTGTTTAAAAATGTTTAGATAGTATGCAGTAAGTATAGTTCTTATTTCAAAAATATTAATGAAACAAAATTTATCAACAGCGACTTACACAGCGAAATACTGGTAGGTATCTATACAATGATGTTAAGTATGGAAGAAAATACATCCTATTTAATTACAAAATGTAGTTTTAGTAATTTCTTCAAATAGCTGTTATTGACATTGTTTAGTTTTAAATTTTAAATAAAAAATATGTGAATGCTAATCATACTTATTCAATTTTTAATTGGTACACTTTAAAATATAATAAATATAAGGGGGTATATTTTTCTTCTGGACAATACACCATTTTAGATGATTATAGGGGCAACACCATGTTTGGGAGACCCCAACAAGCTATTCATTGAATCACATATAACTTATAAGGGTTGTTGCTTTACAAATATAAAATATATCATACATCCTAAACATTTTAACCTTAATAATGGATAGCATATTTAAAAAAATAATAGTAGGTTGTAAAAATTATGTATGAAACTTTATAATATAGTAGTCCTAAATCCTAATAAGTATAAATCATACAATATTATTTATTTTAAAGGCAAATAACAGAATGACAATAATAACAATTTATACGAAAGAGCAAAAATAGAGAAGTTAACAAAATAAACTTTATTGAGTTAGTTAAGTAAAGTAGAACTTTAAGCAATAAATTAGGTAAGGTAAAAATTAACATTTATTAAAAAGTGAGTTAACACTTAAATTAACAATTTATCCAGCTCTATATGATTTAAACCAGTACACGGAGAATAATATTAATCTAACTCATTTAGAAAGAAGTTTATTAATATTTTTCGAATTATCACAAAATACACATGATATTATAGTGACAGATGTGATACATATTATTATATATATTTTGAATTACAAAAAAGTAAAACTAATTTTGTTTAAAACTGGTTCTGAGTAAAAATTCCGGGTTTTTCAAAATTGTTTTATAAAGTACTGAAAATCGCATAAAAGTACCAACTATATTCAATTTTCTACCATAAGCCACCCTCAAAAACAATGATCAAAACATTTTTCTACTAAACAGCTGACCCAAAAAAACAACATATCATTATAAAATCAATACATTCAGAATGTAATATAAATTAACATTTTTATTAATTATTAATGCTCCGCATTTGTAAAAAAAATAATAAAATATCTAAATGTCTAAAATTATTAAATATTATTACTTTTTAAATTAAAAATACAAAATTAAAAATATAATTTACTACATTTGGTATAATATAACTCATCATTTTAACCGTCCTTTTTCCTTTATAATATATTAAAAGTTATCTTACATTTCTTCAGTTATTATTAACTAAAGAAATAATAATGCCAAACATTTAATTCAAAAGTTTATTAATTTAATACTAATATTCTTTATTCGAGCTAAAAATATAAAATTAATACAAAACTAGAATATAATGCCAAAGTGTATAATACATGCAATTCATTTTTATTTTGTAAAAGATTGGGTATGAGCCAAACTTTGAATGGGTGTTTCAAGGATAACTTTTAATCGGTACTTGCTATTCATTTTATTTATGGATTCTGGAAATGTCAAGAAGTTTTACTATTGTTTGCCCATTTCAGTTAATCTTCAAAAAGCAATATCATTCAAAATACATTAATAAACACAATGCAGAGGATGTCTATTAGCTAAAAATTAAGTAGTTTAAGAAATGTTCAAGATTTTGAGACTCTCGGTTTCTATTAAACAGCTAAACGCCCAGTTCATTAATTTATAATGTGAATAACAAATTAAATTATAAAATGTAAGAATTATATTTATTTATTTATTTGATATGTACCTTTATATAAAAGTAATGTTCGTTGATAATACAAATTAAATCAGACAAAACAGTATTACAAGTCTTAATATTGTCCAAAATATTAATGTCTAAAATACGTATTTAAGTATAAGTATGATTATAAGTAAACAAATATAAGTCATACGTAATCAAGTTAAATGTCCAGTTTAGATTAAATATACAATTTAATTTGTATAAGTCAAAACGTGTAATTTTATAATTACTACTTTTATATTACCTATTTGAATCTAGTTCAATAAAAAAATAATGAATTAAAATTAATACAGTTTATCAAAAAAATAAATGGTTATTGGGACATAAAAAGCAATTAGATAAACTTATCAATTTGATAAATTGACTGATTCGCCATTTATATAGTCAATAAAAGTTTTGTGCAACCGGTCATTAGTTGCAAACAACATATTATGATGTAATTTAAACCTATATACAACAAAAAATAATGTTTTCGTTTGAATCTTACAGAATTCAATTTTATTAATAATTTATAATGTTTTCATTTTATTCTGCAACAGTATAATATCGAAGTATTGAATATTTTCAAGGAAAGGAAAAGGAATAATATAATATGTCTATATTTATATTTGTTTGTAATATATAGGGTGATTTCAAGTTTTGATTTTTGGAATTTTTAAATATAGGTTCCTACTCAAACACAATATTTTAAAATTCTTGATTTTTTTTTGTACTTCGGTTAAGGATTGTTCTGTGTTGATTCAGACTTCTATTGTTTGAACTAGAACCCCATCCTTTTTTTTCTGTAATTATTTAATGGGTAATTTTATTAAAATGTTAATGTAATAGTACCAACTTAGTTCAAAATCAAACTAGTATAGTGTATCAGCTATTAAAAGGCAATAGGTTAGCAAATAGTTCTAAAAATTGTGTTACAAAATTATAAAGTAGATATAATACTGGATCTATAGTATTTATAATACTTACGGTCACTTGGACCATTTTTAAGAATTATTAATGTTGATAGAATAATATTAAATATTAATCACTAAAATTTTCAAATAACAATAATTCCACATCTTCCGAGCCCATCATCATGGGACCTATTATTATTATTTGAACTTACTGTCTTTAGTATACATCATTTAGTACACAAAGTCAAATAACTCAAAATCTACTTGTTCACTTGTTGATAATACACCAACATTTTTTCCGTCAAATAATTTAAAGTATAGAAAAGGAGAATTCTCATTTGAAAAACAGAAGTTTGTATCTTCCCAGAACACTCCTTATAAGTAGTATACAAAAAACTCAACAATTTTAAAATATGGTCTACACTCTTTAAGTATATTTAAAGTTTCCAAGAATCAGATTTTAAATAAATGCATTTTTGAAGAAAAAAGTCACGCACGCTTGGGTGAATCACCCACTATATATAAAAAAGAGCTATTGAAGTATGAATACATTAAATTGGATTTCGTCGTTCCAAATAAAGAATTTGTCGTTTGTTGATTTTAATTTTTATTATAGAAAGTATTTAAACATTTCATTTTTATTAAAAACTTGAAGGATTTCATTTTAAAAATAAATAATAAGAAAATTGAAATCAAAATTAATAAACTGTCGCAATACGGCAGCTAACGACCATTGACAACTAATAATAATGTTGTATAGCCGTGATTGAATTTGGATAAAATATATATGTAGGTAGGTTATTACCTGATGGAAATTGTAAAAAAAAAAAATCTCTGACACGTTGCACAACTGGAGTCTTACTGGACTGACTGGTACGCCATAATAAATCATCGTTATTTTATAATAATGTGATTGTCGTTGGACATTGTAAATATTATACACTGCTGTTATTATTCGACCCGATCGCGGAATTACAGCCGTGCAGGAATCTATAAACACACACACATATGTAGGTAGGTACCAACATTTTGTACCGGCTAAATGCAAATATAATAATATGTCGGTGTTCAGAGTGCTGTGTATAATACGCACGCACACATAGAACCAGCACACAACAATAACGGTTAACCCGACACAAGACTTATTGTAACGAGAATGAAAGGACACGGAGGTATAATAATACATAATATGTGTACACGTCATATCATGGAAACAAAATCGTGTACGACCACCGATCAAATCAAATAGTATACAAACGAAACGTTGACCGTCCGGACGTCTCGGGCTCTGCAACCCCCTCGGCGGCGCATTATAGGTACCCTGCACCATGCACTGTGCCCCGTAGTCCGCGGGTTGGCGCCGACCGTTCATTGTCAGAGCATTTTGATCCAGATCGATCGTTCCTTTCCGCTACACAGAATTTCCGTTTTTCTTCATTCTTCCTACATACAATAATATTATATGATGTCGCGGGGCCCCGACCAAAAGAAATACCGCGCAGCCGCCGCCCGCCGTATCATACGTATAATTGGAACTTAATGGATTACAAACATCGATTCCGATTTTCCTGTTGTCCGCATTGTGTCCGTTTAACTCTGTGTCCGTTTGTATCGTCCATTGTTGTGCGGCACCGATTGCTCGACGGCTATCCTTCGCCTCCGCCGCACACACGCGAGTTCACTCCTTCTCGCCCCCCCCCCTTCACCTCCTCCGCTTCTACTCGTTCTTCTTCTTCTTCTTCTTCTTCTTATACCTACACGCGGAGGTCCTTTATGCATACACATATGCATTATACATACATACGGTAATACGTTTTCCTTCTTTTTCTTTTTTTTTTTTTTTTGGAAACGGGTGCTCTTTTATGTTGTAAGAGACTGCTGCAGGACCGCTGCCAACCCCGAGCGCACACGTTTAAAAGACGGTCTTCGGAGAGGAGATGACCTCTGTGACACAACGTTTAGCCCTTTTGTCGGGTAAATAATATGCGCAACCCCGCCGAAACATCTGCATCCGTTCGTTGTCCCCGCCGCCGCCGCCGACCTGCAGCAGCAACAATCGACTGCACGCGGGCCCGGTATTTTTTTTTTTTATTTATTACTATTATTTTATTCGTATACGTTTGTGCGTGCGCTCATATCGGACAATATATTATATACATTTTATACATGACATTACGGCATAAATCAACGGTGTGTCCGAGACTACGCACGCGAAACCCGATCCGGCGATTTTACTCGCCGCTGACGACCTATTGAAGTCTTCGTCGAATAGGCGTAACAGACGTATACTCGAAGACAACGGAGACGTCTCCCTCCCTTATTCGTTGGTCGTAAAAACCCATATAAAATAATGTGTGCACACTACTCTGAACGTTCAAAAGTATTTACGGGATGGCCCCGCAAAGAGGTGAAATTTATTCGTTCGGGAAAAAAAAACATTACTTGGAATTCAGCGTTACAATACATAATATCACACGTTTTCGATTTGCGAATATCTATTTATATTCGAATACTGAAAAACATTCCTTTTCAAAACTTCATAGATGTAACCCGATATGATATTAATGCTTTTATCAAAATCTTGTATTTCTATAATTACAAATATGCGGGCATGCCTACATGTACCAAATAAACATCCTAAATTATTGTTGACAGAAATAGGAATGAAAAATGGATATTAAACTTTTCATTTTGTGAAAATCATAATACTTTTACTTAAACATGAATAAGTGTCATAAAAATAATGATACACAAAATGCATGGCTAAATACGACCAATCCTTAAGAAATACCAAAAAATAAAATAAAAGCATAGGTATTGTATTATAATTAGGTAGATACATTACCTCAAAGTATACATATCGTTTCAATTCATCAGAAATTGACACATGATAAGATAAGAAAGAAGAAATTTGAAAAAAATACGTCAAATGTATTGAAGGCTTGTAAGCACGTAAATCTGCAAGAGTAAGATATGTTATATTATAATAATACATTGCATGATCATTTAGATTATCCATAAAATCGAACGTTCGTAAAGAAAATACTTCAGCAATAAGCAGTTTAAGTTGTTGACTTCTTATCATGAGACAAGAAATGTAGAGTAATTCTATTTTATTAAAAGGATGACCCCGCACTTATCTTTAGCCATTCGGTCCTTCAAGAATATACTAACATCTTACATTATGTTAAAATAATAGTAACACAGTACACCTTATAATATATAAAATATACCCACCACAAATTTGTAATAAATAATAATATTAGTCATTATGTTATAAAATTGTTCTGTTAAACTAATAATTATTACAACTTATAAATTACGATTAGTTTTTATATTTAATCATGGTAATAACTGGATCACAATAATTATTAACCCTGTATAAGATAAACAACCAGTTCGCGTACGCTCCAAACACTCACTAGATGATTACAAATTTATGAATACCTACGTTATTATAATATTACATAAATGCACACTAAAATGTTTATTGTTTATACATTATGATTAAGTCTAATTATGTAATAAATGTTTATTTATGGATAAATATTTAAATTGTATAAGGGCTAATCGCTAATGAATGGCATATACACATTTAAACAGTAAAATTAAATACAGAATTATATAATACGCAGAATAATGTATCATACAGTATAATTAACGAATAAAATCGATAATATAATTCATTATAAAAAGACTCAATCGAGTTAAAATTAAATAAATCGATTTGAGCATCATTAATTTATCTCATGGTTCCATTGCAGGTGCGACAGGGCGCCAGAGCATAATTAGTATTTTGTGTTGAAATAAAAACGTTTCGGTAGACCTAATTCGACAACAAGGAACGTAAAAATTAAAACTATTTAATGCTTCTAGACAGGTAATAAAATGTTATACATTGACCAATTTCTACAACAAAGTAAGAACACTAATATTTCTCTTGGGCGGCTAGAATGTACCTATCCGAGAAGGACACTTCGACACGCGTCTTAAAATTATTATTTCAAATCATGTACCTAAAATCCAAATACTGTAAATTGTAATGCACTATATTACAGAATCCACACTATCGGATCGTAAGCACAATCTCAATTGCCGAGTTTACACAACAACCCAAAATAATATAATACGGTGCAACGGTAAAGAGTTTTTCTTTCGTCTCAACAATGGTTAACAAGGCGTCATATGTTTGTACGAGGTTATGTTGTGCTATGTGACACGGTGGCATGATTAAAAAAAACACGAGCCATCTGCCGCAGCAGCAACAACGGTGTTTTTTTTTTTTTGGCGCGTGCTTCTCTTACTTGCCGTTTTTTACCAGCAGGATAATGGGTGTTGCAGGCGAGATTGCATTTCGACGCCGCTGCCGATTGTTTCCAAAAAAAAAAAAAAAACGTAAAAGAAACACACCTGTCCCACGCGGCTTTGTGCAAATTATTTGGGTCAGGAATAGGCGCCTAGCTGTACGTGTAAGGTATGCGCAGCAGCAATAATTCGATATTTTATATATCTTTGGTTTTTATTTAATATCTTTTTGTGTGATATTAAACGAAACCTCATGTATAGGCATGGTGTAATTTTTAATTGGTGTCAAGGACCACCTGTTCGGCACCCCGCCAAGACTCGCGGAAAATTAGGCCTTTTCCCCTTGATGTACCGCACACTTCAAACGGTACCTATATATACCTATATAAATTGAAAAACCTAACGGCTGCCGTAATAATTACAGGTTTTCGGGTCCAGGGCCGTCAGATGGTTACGAACGATATACTTCCGGAGGTTCGATTCGCAAACCGTGCTCATCTGGTTTGGAGACCTAAGCTACCTATATGTATGTATGTATATAAATATATATATATATATATGTATAATTCGAATGATTAATGTTTAAACAATGCATTACCTGGAAAAGATAATTATCATTGAAAGTATAATAATTTATAGTTCATTATCTATTAATTCATCCGACATAGACGGTTATACCTATGTGGTTAAGAGATAATAAAACGGTAGATTGGCGAGGTAAAATAAATTATAAATATAAGTATAGGCAGTATAGCTGATAATCGATTATATTCCTATATATGATACGTTAAATATTAACGAATATTGTTCGGCTAAAATTCTTTAAGCCCTCCAATACTACTAAGTTGAAAATCGAAATTGTCCCCGTGGCCTTTACATAGTATAGCACCGCTCCGATAAATAAATAAAATTAAAATTTCTCACTAACTCAAAAAAGTAAATTAATTATGTACATTGTACGAAATATTGTATACTCAAACTAATATATTTTTATTCATTTATACGGGATAAACCATAAACAAATATGTTTTATTTATACTTTGATGACTTTAAAGTTTCATTCCATAGGTTTTTCTGTAGAGTGCATCGACTCAGCCTTATTATAGCACCCTTCAAAAATTGCACTTGACATTATCCAGATATTGTTGAAGTGAATGTTGTTAATTATTATTATAATTAATATTCGCTAATAATAGACTGCCTACATTTCATACCCATACCTACATAATATCTTGTTTACTTGTTTATTCTGAAGTACCTATTTCGTTTTTCTTTAATTCTTATAATATTCAAGCAGCCCTTCTTTGATATCTTGAGATAACCAATAAACATCCACAGCAATTATTTTTCTTTAAAATTCTATAGTGATGATGCTTTTATGCTAATATAACATAACTGTTATAATATAAGTGTTTCAAATTTCTGAAATTTTTCATTTCAGTAGATAATGGCTTTTTTTGTAATTTTAGTTATATAATTAAAAAATAATTATATTATTATCAGCTATTGTTTAGTATTGTTTTATATTTTCTTTGGTGATATGAAAGTGTAGTAATTTTATATAATATTATGTATATACTGCCAGAAAACGTATAAATTGTTGTACAACTAAAATTGCTGTTCAAACGTATATGTTATGGGAAATTAAAAAATATCAGTTTCGTTAACCGCAATCAGTGGATGTAATAATATATTGTATAACTATAGTTAGTATAATATCGTAATAGTCAATTAAATAATCGGTTAAGGAGAAATGGTGAATGGTGATTAGTGATTACATTTGAATATTAAATATATTGAGTTCAAACTTCAAACACAAAAATAAAGTTATTTATAGTATATTTTATCGAAATCTTAAGATTCGATTGTGTTAAAATTAAAACATATCAAAAAATATAAACAATTAAAGTTTTCATACTATCCGGGTATTTATTACCTTGTGTTTTATGATAATAATTCAGCTAATTTAAATTAATACGATAACAACTTCGTGTGTATTTAATAAGGAACTCATATTATTAATAAGGTATTGGAATTACAATTTAAAATGTATATAATTAATAACAGTCAATAATTTAAAGTTCTGAGCAAATCATTGAAAGAGTAAAGATACTTTTTACAGTTGAAAACATACTTCAACTCAATTTTTGGGGAAGGATTCTGGTAGAAAATTGGATCTAGTTTAAGCTAGAGCTAAGTATATATTTTTCAATACTTAACAAGATAATTAGGGAAAAAATGGGAATATTTTACTTGAACACAGTTTTTGACAAAATTTATTTGGTTTTTATTTTGTTCTAATTTAAAAAAAAAATACCTGAAGAGACTTGATATGTTCATCAAATATTTATACTAAAATTGTATAGACGTTATACATTTTTAAAAATATGTTAGCCTTTTTCGAGCAATTTATAAGAATTTGAAATGTTCGAACTATTAGTTTCTATTCAACTTACCGAGCAGTGAAATGTTTGTTGTAAGTAAAAACCATTACAAATGTATTACAAGGCTTAAGATTTCTCATAAGTTTACCTTACAAGAATCTCAAAACAAAATATTTAGCGAACATTAATTTCTGATGAGTGTATGAATTTCAAATTTTGTCTCCTCTAACAAAGCACACTCGACATCCACTATAATATACAACTATTATAGGTATACAGTCGAGGAACTTGTCCGTTTAGGTCAACTATTTATGATGCATGATAATTTTATATTAATATTATTATATAAAATAAACTATTACAGGCAAGTCCTAAAATCATAGAAATCATACATTATTGTACTTGCCAACCTAATTTTTTTTAACTGCTTGAACAAATATTGGTTGACCATTGGAAAACTAAGCTCGTCGTGTGGTCGGTATCGAAGTACTCAGCAGTACGTGAGTGCTTGCATAGGACCGAAATTCAGGACTCGTAATTGCCGTAGGTCATCCAACTGATTGTGCGTATATACTTTAAAAATATACCCCAAAAAGACAATGAAAATGGAATTCTACGTTGAAGAGGGTCTATGTAATGTGTACAGACTTCAGACACACCTACTACAAAAACCCTTTCGCACCTGCACGTGTAGGTACGTGCAGTAGTAAAGGGTAATTTGTGACTGTAACCTTTTCTTTATTGAATCAAGTTTATGGACGACGATAAACTACAAATTATCAGATAAAAAAAATACAAAAAATGATAAGCGCTTTTCTTAAAGCCATATTTTATAATATTACTATCATAAATGCGTATTTAAGAAACTACAAATTTTTAAATTGAAAATAAATAAATAATAAATAATAGATACACTTGCAATAGTTGCCACCACACAAATTGTACTACTTTATATTGGTAATTATCCAGTATGTTTAAAGTAGGCTTAATATAATAGGTACCTATATCAACAGTATTGGTGTGATATTTATAACCATTATAACTACCTATTAACAAGTATGAAACAGATTTTAATTTAATGCTAAGATATTTAAACACATATTTTTTTATTACTTGATAGTTAATATACATTGCATCTATTTATAATATTGAAATATTTAAATTAGAATTTCATAAAATACCATCGTATTTTATATTTGTATGTAGGTATACGAATACAAATTATAATTACAAGTTACATCTAATACAATAGATCAAATGTGAAATAAAATTATATCTGATTATAATATTATAATAAAATAGAAAAACAAACTTTTTTTATTTTTAACTCTTCTTGTGAAAAATAATTGGAAACCACTTACGATTTGAAATTTGAAAATTTAAAATTACGATTATTTAGGATCAGATTAGTTTGTTTTATAACGATTTAATGACTTTCACTCTGAGAACAAGTTCACCGAAGTAATGGTTGCATATTGCATGTACCTACGTCAATTCTGTCGGATTTAATTCAATCTCTAAATTGTTTGAAAGTATATCCCTTATCACACTATTTTTAATAGTGTTTAACGTTTTGTAATTTGTAATTCATTATTATTCCAATATATTTAAGAATATAATATGTTTCAAATGCTTTATGCGTTATCGATTATTTAAGACCATACACAACATAACTATAAAATTAATAACCATTCAACAGTACACTTTGTTTGATGACATTGTTTACGCATTGGATTTTTTGGACGGTCACGGAGAAGGGGGAACCCTGTAAATTGTATTTTTTACTTTTATTACTACTTTTAAATGCCTAAATAACACTGTTGAGTAAATATCATTAAATAGATTAACGTTAGACACTTAGACCATAAAATAGTTGGATTCAACGAATTTACTTGCCAAATTCCTCCTCTAGAAATCCTTTTGTATGGGAAGTAGCCATGTTTAACGAGTTTCTACAGTATACAAGCACAATCAAGATAGGGTGAAGAGCTTTGTTGTTAACATAAAATATGATAATAATGTTCTCTGAGATTATTTGTTTTATGCCATTTATTATTATAACTAAAGAGTGTCTATGTAATGTTTTTGAGGTACTGTTCAATTTTCTGTGTAAACACACAAATGGAATTCAACTCCATTATTACCCGACCGAAGTTCAGTTACTAATTTACTTTCATAAGGTCAATAGTTAATACCGTAATTTAAAATATTGCTTACCGAAAAATAACTAAGGCTATATTCACCGGTCAAGAATATTTACATTCAGATTTTCATAATGCCCAAAACTATCAAGATCATGAAAATTAAATTGTTTATCACTTTATCAGTAATGTCCAGTGTGACCTACTATTTTACTGTAGAATAAAAAGAATACAATAAAATTATTTTCATCAATAGTCTATTGTACGAAACAAACTAACGTTCATCTCGTCATTTAAATTGAAAGTATTAATACTAAAAATCACTTTTATAGTTTAAAATAATAAATCAGTATTTTGTCTTATAGTTCGCCAACTTATGTAATTACTCGTATAATTCAATAGTCACTTGGGATAAATTTTTCATTTTTTTGGTATAAAATACAAGTTATGAAACAAAATCTGCATTTTTGTTTACCAATATATAGAAACAAAAGTTCAAAACATTTTAATCATACTTCAATATTAAGAATTTATAATTAACGGTCGAAAGTTAAATGATTGTAAGGACAATTAATATAACTTTATAGAATTACAAATAAGTACCTACTGTAACAAAGTACCTGATATATCCATTTTATATTTTACCATTAATCATAGATGTCATTATATTTTATTAGATACATAAAAACCCTATATGAAGTTTAACACTGAGTAAATGATTATACAATCTTATATTATAGGCATCTAGATCTAGTACATAACCCATAATAATAATATTAGTATAGTTATATACTATACAGTATAATTATGCATATTATCTGAGAACAATACATTTAAAAATAAACTCATTTTATAAACCATAACATACCATTAATTATAATTTACAAGATATAAAAATAAACACTACAGTTAAAACTTATTATTTACTTATCAAATATTTGTTACTTATATAATACTGCATCTAATCAGTAGTCGGTAATCATATTATTCTGGTATATCAC